GAGTTAGATGATGGGAAACTGGAGGTATTTGGTAGATGGCGGGAATATTTTGAGGAACTTTTATATGCCAATGAAGAAAGGGAGGCAGTAATTTCATGCACTGGCCAGGGAGGTATAACATCTTTTAGGAGTGAAGAAGAGCAGGATGTGAGTGTGGGGGAGGTACGTGAGGCATTATGTAGAATGAAATGGGGTAAAGCACCTGGAACTGACAGGATCATGACAGAAATGTTAAAATCAGGGGGGATATAGTGTTGGAGTGGTTGGTGTTTTTGTTTAATACATGTATGAAAAAGGGGAAAATACCGAGGACTGGCAGAGAGCGTGCACAGTTCCTTTATGTAATGGGAAGAGAGACAAGAGAGTGTAAAAATTATAGGGGAAGAAGTTTACTGAGTTGTAAGTAGTAGGGTGGTAGACAGCAAGGGAGGTACTTCCGTCCTACCAAGTGAGTGTAAAATGGAAGCCTAAAACTGTTTTACATGATGGTAGGATTGCTGGTGACTTTTTCCGTCTCATAAACATGTAAGATTTCAGGTACGTCTTGCTACTTCTACTCACACTTAGGTCACACTACACTTGCATGTGCAAACATGTATATATACACACCCCTCTGTGTTTTCTTCTACAGTGGAACCTTTGATTGCACTATGTGCAGAAAGAGGTTGGGTAATAAGTAATACATATTTTATGAAAAAGAGGATTAATAAGTATACAAGGTATGATAAAACACACAATGAAAGTAGTTTGTTAGAGTATGTATTGGTGGATAAAAGGTTGATGGGTAGGCATCAGGATGTACATGTTTATACAGGGCAACTGATATATCGGATCATTATTTAGTTGTAGCTACAGTTAGAGTAAGAGGTAGATGGGACAAAAGGAATATGGCAACATCAAGTAAGAGAGAGGTAAAAGTATATAAACTAAGGGAGAAGGAAGTAAGGGTAAAATATAAGCAACTATTGGCAGAAAGGTGGACTAGTGCAAGTATGGGAAGTCGGGGGGGGGGGGGGGTGAAGAGGGATGGGATAGTTTTAAAAATGCAGTATTAGAATGTGGGGGCATAAGTTTATGGTTACAGGAGGGTGGGTGCAAGAGGAAAGAGGAGCGATTGGTGGAATGATGAACTATAGGGTGCATGAGAGAGAAAAAGGTAGCTTATGAGAGGTTTTTACTAAGCAGAAGTGATGTAAGAAGGGCAGAGTATATGGAGAGTAAAAGAAAAGTGAAGAGAGTGGTGAGAGAGTGCCAAAGGAGAGCAAATGATAAGAGTGGGAGAGGCACTGTCAAGAAATTTTGTTGAAAATAAGAAAACGTTTTGGAGTGAGACAATAAAGTTAAGAAAGCCTAAGGAACAAATACATAGATTTGTCAGTTAAAAACAGAGTAGGGGAGTTAGTTGATGGGGAACCAGAGGTATTGGGTAGATGGCGGGAATATTTTGAGGAACTTTTAAATGCCAATGAAGAAAGGGAGGCAGTAATTTCTTGCACTGGCCAGGGAGGTATAACATCTTTTAGGAGTGAAGAAGAGCAGGATGTGAGTGTGGGGAAGGTACGTGAGGCATTACGTAGAATGAAACGGGGTAAAGCAGCTGGAACTGACAGGTTCATGACAGAAATGTTAAAAGCAGGGGGGATATAGTGTTGGAGTGGTTGGTGTTTTTGTTTAATACATGTATGAAAGAGGGGAAAATACCAAGGACTGGCAGAGAGCTTGCATAGTTACTTTATGTAATTAGAAGAGACAAAAGAGATTGTAAAAATTATAGGGGAAGAAGTTTACTGAGTTGTAGGTAGTAGGGTGGTAGACAGCAAGGGAGGTACTTCCGTCCTGCCAAGTGAGTGTAAAATGGAAGCCTGAAACTGTTTTACATAATGGTAGGATTGCTGGTGACTTTTTTCGTCTGATAAACGGAAGATTTCAGGTACGTCTTGCTACTTCTACTTACACTTAGGTCACACTACACTTGCATGTACAAGCATGTATATATACACACCCCTCTGTGTTTTCTTCTACAGTGGAACCTCAAATTTCGAACTTAATCCATTCCAGGAGCTAGTTCTAAATTTGAAAAGTTTGAAAAGCGAAGCAATTTTTCCCATAAGAAATAATGGAAATACAATTAATCCGTTCCTGAAACCCAAAAATATTCACAAAAAAAAAAAAAAAAATTATAGAGATTAATTATAGTTTTACATACACACAACAAATATGTATTAATAAATTTAAATAAACATATAAAATAACATTTTTACTTACCTTTAGTGAAGATTGGTGATGGCATCTGGAAGATAGGGAGGAGGAGAGAGGGAGTTGGGGTTAGTGTTCGGAAAGGGAATCCCCCTCCATAAGGACTTTAGGTATCAAAGCCTTCACTGGCGTTACTGCCCTTCTCTGTCTTTTAATGCCACTAGGACCAGCTTGAGAGTCACTGGACCCCTGTCTCACAAAATAACTGTCCACAGTCCTGTTTCTGGTGCCTCTTTAAGATTTC